CGGCTGAGCCGTTGTTGATCCTAGACGTTTCCACTTCACAATAACAGCACTTACAGTTGACCGGGGCAGCTCTAGCAGGGCAGAAATGTGACAAACTGACTTGTTGGAAAGGTGGCGTCCTATGATGGTGACATGTTGAAAGTCACTGAGCTCTTCATTAAGGCTATTCTATTGCCAATGTTTGTCTATGGAGATTGCATGGCTGTATGCTCAATTTTATACACCTGTCAGCAACGGGTGTGGCTGAAATAGCCGAATCCACTATTTTGAAGGGGTGTCCATATACTTAACAATATTTTTATTATTAGCATATGAACGACTTGCAATTTGATTGCTGGACTATCGAAGCTATCCATCCAGTCTTTTTTTAAATTGAAATGTCTGCCTTTTACCAGATCCATAGTTTTTGCATTAAAGGTTTTATTTTCATAGCTGATCAAAATTTGGTATGCTAGGCCTATAACCTATAGATAATATTCTGCCCATATGAACACATTTATTTTAGGCCATATAAAGAAAAGCTCTCAATGATGTAATGAAAAGGATCGAACAGAAACATTGTTTTACATTCTTTAATAAAAGACTCATAAACAGAAACAGGCAAACAGGCTTATCCAGCTGGCTTCACAGTTTCCCTGCCAAATAGGCCTACAAGGAAACTCGACGTATCTCGACGACGTTGAGGTCGCGAGGGAGGGGGGTCTGTGCACGGTGTAGTAACATCCACAAAAAGTTTTGCTCTACAAAAAGACACGTCAGCGGACTGTGTAACGAGGTGTTTGCGAGGAATGTCCAGAATATTTTGGTGTCTCATTCGTTACGCTGGTGAAGACGGTTGTGCCTGGATCCACGTTGGATCTAATATCCCTAGCGGATTGATGTTGACCATCTGTTGTTGTCTGCTTCACTTACAGCAGGGTCTCGTTAGATTTAAACAGAGAAAGCATCAAGGTAATGAGTTCCTGTTTTCGTTTGTCTTTGTGCCTCAGATTGGACATCGAGCCTACTGTGCGCAATTGTGTAGGGCCCCGTGTAGCCATGGCATGGCTTGCAACGACAGGGTTGTGGGTTCGATTCCCACAGGGGGCCAGTATGAGGAGGAAAAAAATAAAATAACGGTAAGTCGCTCTGGATAAGAGCGTCTGCTAAATGACTAAAATGTCAATTATTCTGGATATAATGATGATCAATGCGATCAGGTAATGAATACGTCGAGTTTCCTTGTAGGCCTATTTGGCAGGGATACTGTGAAGCCAGCTGTATAGCCTGTTTGCCTGTTTCTGTTTATGAGTCTTTTATTAAAGAATGTAAAACAATGTTTCTGTTTGATCCTTTTCGTAACATCATGGAGAGCTTTTCTTTATTTGGTGCTTGAAAAGTTACTGTAACTATTGTAGCCAATATATACGTTCTCCTGCTCCCTTATAATTATTAGTGATTTCATTGTTCATCATTTTTTTGTTTTTTGTTTGTTTCCCGCCGCTTCTGTTGCACGTGTGGTTATTATGAGGACAACAACAACCTCATGTTGGCTTCAACTTGTCTTTCCATATACATCCTTCCATTAAAAAAAGGAATCTGGTTTTTGGTCACTTTTTCATTATAAAAAACAGCGATGGTGAGATTAACGCTACCGTTATTCATGGCTTTATTACGAGTCTCAGCCGCTTAGGCTACTGAAAAGTCGGCATGCATGCATCCAGTCTGTATATTATATCATCCAGTCTATTATATCCAGTCTGTATATTATATCATCCAGTCTATTATATCCGGTCTATATATTATATCATCCAGTCTATTATATCCAGTCTATATATTATATCATTCAGTCTATTATATCCAGTCTATATATTATATCATCCAGTCTATTATATCCAGTCTATATATTATATCATCCAGTCTATTATATCCAGTCTATATATTATATCATCCAGTCTATTATATCCAGTCTATATATTATATCATCCAGTCTATTCTATCCAGTCTATATATTATATCATCCAGTCTATTCTATCCAGTCTATATATTATATCATCCAGTCTATTCTATCCAGTCTATATATTATATTATCCAGTCTATTATATCCAGTCTATATATTATATCATCCAGTCTATTATATCCAGTCTATATATTATATCATCCAGTCTATTATATCCAGTCTATATATTATATCATCCAGTCTATTATATCCGGTCTATATATTATATCATCCAGTCTATTCTATCCAGTCTATATATTATATCATCCAGTCTATTCTATCCAGTCTATATATTATATCATCCAGTCTATTCTATCCAGTCTATATATTATATTATCCAGTCTATTATATCCAGTCTATATATTATATCATCCAGTCTATTATATCCAGTCTATTATATCCAGTCTATATATTATATCATCCAGTCTATTATATCCGGTCTATATATTATATCATCCAGTCTATTATATCCGGTCTATATATTATATCATCCAGTCTATTATATCCAGTCTATATATTATATCATCCAGTCTATTATATCCAGTCTATATATTATATCATCCAGTCTATTATATCCAGTCTATACATTATATCATCCAGTCTATTATAACCAGTCTATATATTATATCATCCAGTCTATTATATCCGGTCTATATATTATATCATCCAGTCTATTATATCCAGTCTATATATTATATCATCCAGTCTATTATATCCAGTCTATATATTATATCATCCAGTCTATTATATCCAGTCTATATTATATCATCCAGTCTATTATATCCGGTCTATATATTATATCATCCAGTCTATTATATCCGGTCTATATATTATATCATCCAGTCTATATATCCGGTCTATATATAATCATCCAGTCTATTATATCCAGTCTATATATTATATCATCCAGTCTATTATATCCAGTCTATATATTAATCATCCAGTCTATTATATCCAGTCTATATTATATATCATTCAGTCTATTATATCCAGTCTATATATTATATCATCCAGTCTATTATATCCAGTCTATATATTATATCATCCAGTCTATTATATCCAGTCTATATATTATATCATCCAGTCTATTATATCCAGTCTATATATTATATCATTCAGTCTATTATATCCAGTCTATATATTATATCATCCAGTCTATTATATCCAGTCTATATATTATATCATCCAGTCTATTATATCCAGTCTATATATTATATCATTCAGTCTATTATATCCAGCCTATATATTATATCATCCAGTCTATTATATCCAGTCTATATATTATATCATCCAGTCTATTATATCCAGTCTATATATTATATCATCCAGTCTATTATATCCAGTCTATATATTATATCATCCAGTCTATTATATCCGGTCTATATATTATATCATCCAGTCTATTATATCCAGTCTATATATTATATCATCCAGTCTATTATATCCAGTCTATACATTATATCATCCAGTCTATTATAACCAGTCTATATATTATATCATCCAGTCTATTATATCCGGTCTATATATTATATCATCCAGTCTATTATATCCAGTCTATATATTATATCATCCAGTCTATATATTATATTATCCAGTCTATATATTATATCATCCAGTCTATAATATCCAGTCTATATATTATATCATCCAGTCTATATATTATATCATCCAGTCTATTATATCCAGTCTATATATTATATCATCCAGTCTATTTAGTCAGTCAATGTCCACATTATTCTCACAGATTTTAGAATGTAATCATAATAATAATAATAATATTAATAATAATAATTTGAATATCAATGCATTGGCAAGGCCCTAAAAAATAAATATATATTATTTGTGGTAATGGCCTACTTAAAAAAACAAAAACGTTTTACATTAATTTTCGGACGAGGGAGGGGGAGAGACGGGGACGGGGGTTTCTATGTTAGGCCCTATAAATGTACAATTTATATAAATTATTCAAATGTCTAACATTGAGGTCCTTGAAAATTACAATTAAGTGCCTGAATAAGTGTTTGAAATAGTCCCTGACTTGCCAATGTCTGTTTGAGCCCTGCTTAAAGGATGTAGAGTGCTAGGAATATGTTGTTGTTTGCTCATTCATTTTTATTTCCATGATGTTCTGTTGTTGCCTCCAGAGCTAATTTGACATCAAATCCTTTAGGTATGTCCAGTCAATCCCCATTTGGCCTTGTATGGGTGAGTGAGTGAATGAGTGAGTGAGTGAGTGAGTGAGTGAGTGAGTGAGTGAGTGAGTGAGTGAGTGAGTGAGTGAGTGAGTGAGTGAGTGAGTGAGTGAGTGAGTGAGTGAAAGAGGGAATGAGAGAAAGAATGAGTGAAAGAGGGAATGCGTGAGTGAAATAGAGAATGCGTGAGTGAAAGAGGGAGTGAATGAGGGAAAGAGGGATTGAATGAGGGAAAGAGGGAGTGAATGAGGGAAAGAGGGAGTGAATGAGGGAAAGAGGGAGTGAATGAGGGAAAGAGGGAGTGAATGAGGGAAAGAGGGAGTGAATGAATGAGGAAAAGAGCGTTAATGGGTGATGTTTTGTCAATGTAATTTGTGTATTGCTAATAAATTCATCAATACATGTTAATTGCTTTGAATCTTTAATTTATTTTCGAATATTAATAGTATCGACAAATCCTGTACATAAATGTTCTCTATTCTTTTTTTTTTTTTTAATGTATTGGAAAATATAATGTGTAACAGCGTTCAGGTAACCTTAGTGAAATTAGCTATATTGGTCAATGTTTATTTTAAAAGTAACTACTTTTCAAATTATCTACTTTCAGTACTCTTTCCACCCTGTACCAGGGGGTTGGGTAGATCTACATACCTGGTCCGTGTACCAGTATTAGAGGGTTGGGTAGATCTACATACCTGGTCCGTGTACCAGTATTAGAGGGTTGGGTAGATCTACATACCTGGTCCGTGTACCAGTATTAGAGGGTTGGGTAGATGTACATACCTGGTCCGTGTACCAGTATTAGAGGGTTGGGTAGATCTACATACCTGGTCCGTGTACCAGTAGTAAGGGGTTGGGTCAATGCCTTCCCTCTTGTATCCCTCCAGCAGTTCGTCAGCATCCCAGATCCTCATAGACCCTCCTACGATCTCTCCAACGTTAGGCATCAGCACATCCACCTGGGGAGAGGAGCAGCAGGGACTACAATGAGGATGAGGTATTTCACTGGGGAGAGGAGCATCAGGGACTACAATGAGGAGGAGGTATTTCACTGGGGAGAGGAGCATCAGGGACTACAATGAGGATGAGTTATTTCACTGGGGAGGAAAATGAATCCTATAATACAGAGGTTTTCATGTGTGTTTTTTCAGGGCCCATATTCAAAAAGCCTCTCAGAGCAGCAGTGCTGATCTCTGTCCATATATACTCTTATTCATTACGGAGTGGCTGCGGATCCGACTTTTCTGGACCCCTTGTCCAGACAGCTAAAAGGTCCCGAAGCTTCTGCCCATGTGCAGGATTCTCTACTTTACACACAGTCTCTGCTCTACTTGTAGAGAACAGGCTACTCTGGTGAATGGTGCTCGTTTAATTAAAGTTAGATCAAAGCTGAATCAGTGTACGCAAGATCAGATAATTACAGTATCGTACATAACAGAACCGAATATACAGTAATGGGTCCCGTGTAGCTCAGTTGGTAGAGCATGGCGCTTGCAACACCAGGGTTGTGGGTTCGTTTCCCACGGGGGGGCCAGTATGAAAACTGTAAGTCGCTCTGGATAAGAGACTAAAATGTATAATAGCATAGTATAATGTTACTGTAAGACAGAAAACACAAGCTCATTTTTTATGAGATTTTAGGATAATTGTCGAATAGAAGATTTTTCTCATGTGGACAAAACCACTAGACAAAACATGTGCTTTGATTGAAACTAAAACACAGGTATGCTATGCTACAGTTTGTTAACACCATCTGCTCTATAATGTGCTCACTGTACATAATTCAAAACACTGTATAACACTCTAGAGTCTAAAAATCAAAAGGAAGATCTGAAGTGTCCTATATCTGAAAGATCTGGAAAGATACATGCATACATACAGTTGAAGTCGGAAGTTTACATACACTTAGGTTGGAGTCATTAAAACTCATTTTTCAACCACTCCACAAATTTCTTGCTAACAAACTATAGTTTTGGCAAGTCGGTTAGGACATCTACTTTGTGCATGACACAAGTCATTTTTCCAACAATTGTTTACATACAGATTATTTCACTTATAATTCACTGTATCACAATTCCAGTGGGTCAGAAGTTTACATACACTAAGTTGACTGTGCCTTTAAACAGCTTGGAAAATTCCAGAAAATTATGTCATGGCTTTAGAAGCTTCTGATAGGCTAATTTACATCATTTGAGTCAATTGGAGGTGTACCTGTGGATGTATTTCAAGGCCTACCTTCAAACTCAGTGCCTCTTTGCTTGACATCATGGGAAAATCAAAATAAATCAACCAAGACCTCAGAAAAGAAATTGTAGACCTCCACAAGTCTGGTTCATCCTTGGGAGCAATTTCCAAACGCCTGAAGGTACCACGTTCATCTGTACAAACAATAGTACGCAAGTATAAACACCATGGGACCACACAGCCGTCATACCGCTCAGGAAGGAGACGCGTTCTCTCTCCTAGAGATGAACGTATTTGGTGCGAAAAGTGCAAATCAATCCCAGAACAACAGCAAAGGACCTTGTGAAGATGCTGGAGGAAACAGGTACAAAAGTATCTATATCAACATAACCTGAAAGGCCGCTCAGCAAGGATGAAGCCACTGCTCCAAAACCGCCATAAAAAAGCCAGACTACGGTTTGCAACTGCACATGGGGACAAAGATCATACTTTTTTGAGAAATGTCCTCTGGTCTGATGAAACAAAAATAGAACTCTTTGGCCATAATGATCATATGTTTGGAGGAAAAAGGGGGTTGCTTGCAAGCCGAAGAACACTATCCCAACCATGAAGCACGGGGGTGGCAGCATCATGCTGTGGGGGTGCTTTGCTGCAGGAGGGACTGGTGCACTTCACAAAATAGATGGCATCACGAGGAAGGAAAATTATGTGGATATATTGAAGCAACATCTCAAGACATCAGTCAGGAAGTTAAAGCTTGGTCGCAAATGGGTCTTCCAAATGGACAATGACCCCAAGTATACTTCCAAAGTTTTGGCAAAATGGCTTAGGGACAGCAAAGTCAAGGTATTGGAGTGGCCATCACAAAGCCCTGACCTCAATCCTATAGAACATTTGTGGGCAGAACTGAAAAAGCATGTGCGAGCAAGGAGGCCTACAAACCTGACTCAGTTACACCAGCTCTGTCAGGAGGAATGGGCCAAAATTCACCCAACGTATTGTGGGAAGCTTGTAGAAGGCTACCCGAAACGTTTGACCCAAGTTAAACAATTTAAAGGCAATGATACCAAATACTAATTGAGTGTATGTAAACTTCTGACCCACTGGGAATGTAATGAAATAAATAAAAGCTGAAATAAATAATTCTCTCTGTTTTTCTGCAAAGGGACCAGGACGACTGATCCGTGTAAAGGAAAGAATGAATGGGGCCATGTATCGTGAGATTTTGAGTGAAAACCTCCTTCCATCAGCAAGGGCATTGAAGATGAAACGTGGCTGGGTCTTTCAGCATGACAATGATCCCAAACACACCGCCCGGGCAACGAAGGAGTGGCTTCGTAAGAAGCATTTCAAGGTCCTGGAGTGGCCTAGCCAGTCTCCAGATCTCAACCCCATAGAAAATCTTTGGAGGGAGTTGAAAGTCTGTGTTGCCCAGCGACAGCCCCAAAACATCACTGCTCTAGAGGAGATCTGCATGGAGGAATGGGCCAAAATACCAGCAACAGTGTGTGAAAACCTTGTGAAGACTTACAGAAAACGTTTGACCTGTGTCATTGCCAACAAAGGGTATATAACAAAGTATTGAGAAACTTTTGTTATTGACCAAATACTTATTTTCCACCATAATTTGCAAATAAATTCATAAAAAATCCTACAATGTGATTTTCTTGATTTTTTTTCTCATTTTGTCTGTCATAGTTCACGTGTACCTATGATGAAAATTACAGGCCTCTCATCTTTTTAAGTGGGAGAACTTGCACAATTGGTGGCTGACTAAATACTTTTTTTCCCCACTGTATGTACAGTGAGGGAAAAAAGTATTTGATCCCCTGCTGATTTTGTACGTTTGCCCACTGACAAAGAAATGACCAGTCTATAATTTTAATGGTAGGTTTCGTACAACGCTGTGTACTACTCCCTTCACAGAACAGCGCAAACTGCCTCTAACCAGAATAGAAAGAGGAGTGGGAGGCCCCGGTGCACAACTGAGCAAGAGGGCAAATACATTCGAGTGTGTAGTTTGAGAAACAGGCGCCTCACAGGTCCTCAACTGGCAGCTTCATGAAATAGTACCCGCAAAACACCAGTCTCAACGTCAACAGTGAAGAGGCGACTCCGGGATGCTGACCTTCTAGGCAGAGTTGCAAAGAAAAAGCCATATCTCAGACTGCCCATCTTAATCTTTTCTTTTTATTGGCCAGTCTGAGATATGGCTTTTTCTTTGCAACTCTGCCTAGAAGGTCAGCATCCCGGAGTCGCCTCTTCACTGTTGACGTTGAGAATGGTGTTTTGCGGAGTCTGAATACTTATGTAAATAAGGTATTTCTGTTTTTCTTTTTTTATAAATGTGCTAAAAAATATAACAACCTGTTTTTGCTTTGTCATTATGGGGTACTGTGTATAGTTACATCTATTTTAGAATAAGTCTGTAACAAAATGTGAAAAAAGTCAAGGGGGTCTGCATACTTTCTGAATGCACTCTATATACTTCCATTCATTTTAAAACTGGTACCCCGCTACCTTCAGATTAGTCTTGTGAGGCTTGTGGGGGTCGTAGAGCAAAATG